TCCCTAAACTCAATTCAATTCCTAATTATTCACCTCACTCCCCACTTTTCAGCCTGCCTTCTCACCACTAACACACACACACACACACACACACACACACACACACACACACACACACAGCATTTAGGACTTTCAAATGTACCATTTCACTTCAGGCTACAGCCTTGAACCTCCCTGAAGGCCATCTACTCTGCATGCTGCACTCTCCGCTGAGGAGCCCTAAGACCCCATGTCCAGACAAGACCTCATTCCTGAGAACCAGAACTTGTCTGAAATTGTTTCCTGGGCTTCCAGTGCATCAGATGTGCTCTTCAGTCCTTCCTGTCCCTGCCACACCATCCCAGTTAGTGTATACCCACTTGCCCATTTGAACAAAACAAGTCATCTTCACCTTCTCCTTTCCCCCAAATCATGTTAGTCACCATTTCTACTCATTCAACTTCTAAAATTCCTTCAGTCTGCTCCTCTTCTCCCTCCCCACGGCCTCTGCCTTGTTCAGATCTGTAACTTCTCTCTAGCAGACTTGGGAAGTCTACTCCAGCTCACCTCCCCACAGCCAGCAAAGTGACCTTTGTCAATCACAGATGTTTCTCCCTTGATAAACAGGATAAAGATCAAAGTTCTTAGCCTTTGACACAGAACACTGCATATGTTTGTCCAGGCGCCTCTCTTTCTTACTAGGCTATGACCTCGCACAAGGCAGGAAAATGTGCCTCCTTTATTTTGAATTCCTAATTACTGCTTGGAGGTGCAGAATGTGCCCAATAAATGTTAAGTGGCATAATGCCAGCAGGCAGAGGAAACTTATAAAAAGCAACTGTAGTTTTAAAGACTCTTTCTCATGAGAGTGAGACAGGCTGGGTGCTGGAGGCTAAGTCCAGCAGGTCATAATAAATTCGAGAAGTCCTCAAAAGGTTGAATGGACTCTTTCAGCAGGGCTGAAAATCTGCATGTTATTACCTGTTGCTGGAACAGCCAAAGGCAACTCTCCTAACCTGATAATCTTTTATCGCTTACCAAACCTTACCTTTGATATATATATATATATATATATATATATATATATATATATATATATATATATGCTTTGCTAAAGGGCAAAATGTGTTAATAAAAAACCGTGGGTCGGGAGATTCAGGGAGCTTAGTCACTAGAGCTAAGTTTCCGTCTGGCTTTCCCCCATGCCCTTCCAAATTTATATTTCTTGTCTAGTATCTCAATTCATTTACATTGCAGCCCCTTCTCCAGATTTCTGAACCCTTGTGGTGAAAAAGATTGTGGCAGCTGGGCCTCTTTTAAATGGAAGGGAATACTCTGCATTTATTTTTTAAAAAATATGTTTTTATGGATTTTTAGAGAGAGAGGAAAGGAGAGGGATAGAGAGATAGAAACATTGATGAGAGAGAAACATCATCCATCAGCTGCCTCCTACATGCCTCCTACTGGGGATTGAGCCCTGACCAGGAATCCAGCTGATTCCTGGGTCAACGCTCAACCATTGAGCCACACCATCCAGGCGGCAGTTATTTTTTTAAACCTCTCCTAAATAAGTTTAAAGTTTCTCTTTAGGCACTCCCTGAAGAGCTTCGCTCTGCACCTGCACTGCTGGACACCAGTGCTGGAACCTGGGAAGCAAGGAAATGTCTGTGTGAAGAACCCAGCTCTACATAAGCCCGACCCCAGCATTTCCAGGAGCCGTGCTTTCATTAGTGTGTGTTCCCTTGGTGCTTCAAGCTCCCTCTCCCCTTTCCTTCCACCTTGTTTTCAGTAAACCTTTTTTTTTAATCTGTTTTGCCTCCTCTTCTGATTTCTATCTTGAGGGAGAACAAGAACCCCTTCACCGGTGACAAGAGTTGACAGGAGATGGGTTTCTACAATTCTCACCACCTGCTCATTCATCTCTTACCATGGATAGCAAATGAATAGCAATCTTTTAATTTGATAATTAGCAAATGTTGAGGGCCATTAGAATACACTCGGTTTAATTTACATCAGCTGGACCCAGGGAGCCAGCAAAGCCACTCCCTTGGGGGCGTGACCAGTCAAAAGATTGGGCACCACCCAGTTTGACTCTCCCACCCAGTTTGACTCTCCCGCCCAGTGTTAAGGGGATGGATCTCATGATGTCAAAGGCCCACCCAGATGTGATGTAACTTCCTGTAACTCAAGTATATAATAAAGCAGCTTTTGGAGCTGGGGCTCTCCCTCTGTGTGTGCTCTGCCCCTCCAGGAGGGCGGGCATGACACCCAGGCCAGGCTTTTCATCTATTTTATGTCTGTCTTTCATTTATTTCTCAATCCCGATAGCGCCTCCTAGATTGCATGGACCGGTTTAAGTCTCCTTCTTTGTGCGGGCACGGGAAGAAGACAGCCCCAGGTAAACCGCACGTTATAAGCAAAAGATAGATCAAGGGTGGAAATGCATAATTATTTGTAGCTAGCATACTCCATTGTATTTTATATTTGTGTGTTCTCTGTAAACAGCAAATTCACACTGTTCAAACTAATAACTGAAGAATATTAATTTGTTAACTATAAATATTTAAAACATATATGCAGCCATTTTTCTGTTTTTGCATATCTTCACTTTTTAATATATTGGAATTCTCAGAAAGATTTAAAAAGCAAATCTTTCTTTTACTGATAATAATGATCCTTTATAACATCTCTTGAAGGTATTTTTGGGTTAAAAGATTTGCCCCCTTTTTAAAACAGAGTTAAGGAGAGGAAGGAAATAAGAGGAATCTGGAGGGACCAACTCCCTACCACATAGTATATAAAATGGCAATAATCATGAGTCACTTATTTCACGAGTTACCAGGAACATTGTACATGATAACACACTGCAGAGAACTTTAAAGAGTTAAAAGTACAATCATGAACGTGTGCTCCAAGGAGCATTTTTAGTCAGTGCACTCTTTGTTTCTGGTCCATGGTGAGATAAGCAAGAGAATTTGAGAGTAGGCATTTAGAAATTATTATAGAAAATTGACAAAGTAATTTTACATCTGTTGAATCAAATAATAAAAGATTTGGGCTTGTATTTTGTATGTCTGATTTTTTACTTCATTTATTTCATTTCCTGGTAATTTATTTTCATTGTACTTTGAAAGTCAAAGAAAAATCTGTCCTTCACTACACATCATTTAAGAAGCATTGACAAAAGGTATTATTGTTTCAGAAATTTTGCCAAAGACCCATTAAATTTCTAATTGTAAATTAATTACATGTCATTATTTGAGAAACACTGTTTCATGCCAAGTATAGGGAGTTGCCAGATACAAACAAGTTCCAGAACAAGTTTGTTTGTATTCAGTAACTTGATGATTTAAGCACATGAAATAACATAAACCCTGGGTTATATTCTTGGTGTAGCCTATAAACCCAGGTATCTCAAAAGATTGCTAAGCTATATACTATAAAATTCATGGTGATTACCAGAGAGAAAGAGGGTGTGGGGAGTTAGGAAAGGTTATAAGGGGAATAAATGGTGATGGTAGGAGACTTGACTTGGAGTGGTGAATGCACAATACAATATACAGATGATGTATTATAGAATTGTACCCCTAAAACCTATATAATTTTATTAACCAATGTCACCCCAATAAATTCAATAAAAAAGAGAAAATTCAATTACTGGTATGTACTATAAAATTAATAACCAGTTTTCTCCAACCTCTTACAATGGAGAAGAAAGCCTTTTGAATTCCAAGTCAGAAAATATCTCTCTTCCCCATTAGTCTGTGAGAAATGATGATTCCTAGCCCTAGCATGGTGGTGGGGAAAGGGGGAAGGAAGAGGCCGCTTCTGCAGAAGTTGTTTCACTTAGAAAGAAAAAGAGAATGGAACTGTAGTACTCTTCACATAGCATAATAAAGGAATTAGGCAGTCAAATTTGAGGGAACTTACTGCTGATGTTAATAACTTTCAACTGAGGTGACTCCCAGATTCTCTGAGATTGAAGTTAGGTAGGTTTTGCTGGGCTTGAAAGTCCTGGTTCTTTACCACAAATGCCTTCGTCCTAAACTCCAGGGCATTGTTCTGATTGGTGGCCTGGCACCATGAGGGTGACTAGGCTTCATCCTGAATTGAGATCTGTCAGTGGCTACCAGTTCCTAAGGTAACTTACGTCAGCATTCTTAACCAAAGTAGTCCATGGATAGAATTCCCATGGCTTATGACCTTGGGAAAGAGAAAAATCTTGATTTCAAATGGAATTTGGCATGTCCCTCAATAGAATTCGAGGAAAGTAGAAAGCAGGTTTGGCTCAAAAGCATTAGTAGTACTTGTGACTTTGTTGTTAATGGAAATAGTGACTTTATTATTTCATTGCACTGTTGCAGGGATCTTGAAATAACATTGATGCTTATCACTATTTGAAAGAATGGTGCTGCATCTTGTTACTTATTGTGTTAATGTAGCACACTTTCCGTGACTATATTACTATAGTCAAAAGAATATTTTGATAATTGCACCTGAATGTAATTGTTCTCCTTTGCAATCTTGTGTGTTTTATTGTATGCACTTAAAAGTATGCTTCTGAGAAGGTGTCTATAGGTTCAGTGCTGCCAGAGGGGCCGGTGGCACAAAGAAAGGTAAGCCTCCTGGGCTTTCAAAGGACAGCTATTTAGTCCTGTATCCAGCATCCATATAAACTAATATCCCCCAGGACTGAATCAGAGATGCATGCAACATCAGTAGAAGGGTTTGGTTTTTTTTTTTCTGAAAGGGGGGGGGGGGCGGCGACTGGCATCTGCTTTTTTTTCTTTTTAATCCTCACCTGAGGGTATGTTTTTATTGATTTTAGAGAGAAAGGAAGGAAGAGAGAGCAATGAGAAACACCAATTGATCATTTGCCTCCCATCAAACCCGAAACCTGAGGATATGCCCTGACCGGGAATCAAACCCTCAACCTTTTGATGTACAGGACAATGCTCCAGCCAACAGAGCCACCCATCCAGGGCTGGCATCTGCGTTTATTTACTACTGGTTTACAAAACCGGTAGTTGCTGAAAATGGGCAATTGTGACATTTTCTGCCTACATACTGCAAGATGGCGATTAACCACTGGCACCATGAGAAGCTTATTTCAGGCATGCTCACTCTTCATAATTCTTCTTAGTGGGTAAGTTTCTCTTCTACGCTGTTTTCTTTATTCGTGTTATGGTTGTTGAAGTGAAAGAAAGAAAAAGGGAGGGAGGGAGGGAGGGGGGAGGGAAAGAAGAAGGAAGGAAGGAAGGAAGGAAGGAAGGAAGGAAGGAAGGAAGGAAGGAAGGAAGGAAGGAAGGAAGGAAGAAAGAAAGGAAGGAAGGAAGGAAGGAAGGAAGGAAGGAAGGAAGGAAGGAAGGAAGGAAGGAAGAAAGAAAGAAAGAAAGAAAGAAAGAAAGAAAGAAAGAAAGAAAGAAAGAAAGAAAGGAGACTATCCTTATTTCCAAAAGTTTAGATCAAAAAGAAGTGTCCTCGTCCTTAGGTTTCTAGTCTAGATGAAGCATGACTGAAAATAGGATGTTTCTTACCTTTCACCCACATCCTATTCTAAAAAGTAGTGATTCCAGCATGAACCATTTACAAGACATGGACCCTGTATCCTTCCCTGTAATAAAGACTCTTTAAAGCTCCACTCAGGCTTCGTACTGGAATGTGGAGAAAGGAATGTCTTTGAAGCGTAGGGGAATGAGAAAGGTCCACGGGCAGCCTGCCTGTTGGGAAAGGAAGTGAAGGAACTCAGAGTTCCACGCCCTTTGCCTAAACTGGGGCACGGGAGGGCGGGCCCCAGTCCCCGGGAAGGTAGGCTTTGGGTTGACAAAGGCCCGGGGCCGGCGAGGGCGGAGTCGCCAGGGCCCAGAGTCAGGAACCCGCCTCGGCCAGGGACGGGGCGGAGCGCGGCCGGCGCCCTGGAGCCGGACGCGGGCGCCGCCCACAGTGCTACCCGGCCAGGCCCGAGCGGCAGCTCCGTTCCGCGCCATGGGGCGGCTGGTGGGACTGAGCTTGCTGGGGATCGCGCTGGGGCTGGTGGGCGAGAGGCTCCTGGCGCTCAGGTGAGTGGGGCCCCTGGGATCCAGCCGTCCAAGCGCTGCCGGGACGCCCTGCCCGGGAGCCTCCCCGCCCGCGTGTCCCCGGACTCCGGGGGCCGCGGCTGCGGGAGGGGCGAAGGCCGCGGAGGGCTTAGCTTAGTGCGGCGATCGGCCTGGTGATTGCTCTCTTGATTGCTCTGTGTTCCCCCCGCCCCTCCCCCCCTACACACACTCCCCCCTCCCCACCCCGTCATTGAACCCCTGAGTCCACCCCCAGCTACCAGCAAAACCCAGCACAGTTTGGGCTGAATCTGGAGACTTTCTTGAAAGTTTATAACTCTTTGCCGCTTGCAAAGTTCTGTTCTCCCTAGATGGGCAAGCAAGTGCTTTGCAAGTACCAGCAGGGGCAAATCTGAGCGCTTTCGCTTGAAAACAACATGATTCCTCATGCACTGAAACTTAATTATAAAGGTTCATTCCGGGTCATTGGTGCTGCTTCCCTTTGTTGCCCGAACCAGCCTTCCCCTTGCTACAGCTGCTCTCCATCTCTCTCTGCTGCATAGTTTGAGGAGCTCTCTAACTCTGGCGAGGGGGCGTCAAAGATATTTGCAATGTTCAGCTTCTGGTCTTACATCACTTCCTATTTACCTCTTCACCCGGGAACCCCGAAGCCAGAATGCAAGACAGTACAAGCCTAGTCCAGCTCACACTTTAGTGATAATGAAAAAACATGGGTGGGTGGACGTCAGCGTTCCTGAATTACCAACTCAAACCTTATAAGCCACTTGCAAAAGAATTCCAGAAATATTGAGCACTTCCTGTGTATGGTGCGTTTTCCTACGCTCCTGTAATAAGTCTTACCCTTAAGCTTAAGAAGTTTACTTTATTACAGGGGAGGAGAAAAAGTATATATATATATATATATATATATATATATATATATATATATATATCTCCAAGGCAGGTACAACCTACCCCTACAGGCTTAAGGAGGAAAGATTATATCCCCTAAAGGTAGAGTTTAGGGGACAGAGACATTGGCCTTGAAGGATGAATGGAACATATATGGGATGAAGGAGGCACAAATGAGAATAGTAGGGGGAGAGGGGAGGATAGATTTGAGATGAGCTATGTTGAGATATGTTACAAAATTGGGGCTGCTTTGATAGGAAAAGGGGAACTATTGATGTTTGTTGTATGTTCTGTTTGTTTGTTTGTTTGTTTGTTTGTTTTAAATAGGAACAGTTAAACCGCACGAAGCACAACCAGTTGTGTTAAGTAGAGATGAACTTGGAAGGATGGATTGGAGTAGGGCAGTAGTTCTCAGTCCTGGCTGTGCATTTGGACCTCCTGGGGGGCTGATGTCTGGGCTGTACCCCCACAGATTCTGATTCAGTTTGTTTGGGTAGAGCCCGGGCATGTGTGTTTTTTATAAATTTCTGATCATTCTATGTGCAGTTAAGAGTTGAGAAGTACTAGAATAGAGAGTGAATAGACATGGGGAAACTAGTTAAGGTTTTGCAATAGTTTGGAGAGAATATCAGGGGCCCAAACGCTGGAACCCCAGAAATGGGAGCAGTCACAGGTGATAGATACCAGAGTTTTCAGCTCTATTGTCCGGTAGCTGTAGCTTCATCTGCACATGAAGGGATGCAAGTAGGAGGAACAGTGAGAGTGTGTGTGTGTGTGTGTGTGTGTGTGTGTGTGTGTGTGTGTGTGTGTGTTGGGCGGGGCTGGTAGTTAGAGTTGGAGTAGGCTCACTTACTGACAGGACAATGGACACATTGACCTTAATTTTCATGTTATGTAAATGCCTGCTCTGCAGAACATTCTTGAGTTGGATGATTTTGTCTGATCTGACCAGCTCTCAGTTCCCAAGGCAAGTCCCCTAAACTTCACAAACTCAGTAAGTTGTCCCTAAACTTCAAACCACCAGTATTACTACCAGCTGAAGTTTTCTTCTTATTGATCTTAAGGTTTTACCTTTAAGTTCCTTTAAATAATAAATGTCATTGTTGTAAACCTAAGAAAAAGTAAAGCTTATGTACATAAAATGTACCTGATAGGTCATTTATAATTTAATGCACTTTTAAATAAAGATTTGACTTATAATACACTTTATTGAGCAGGACTTTATAGGGTAGTAACTTCATTGGATAGTTGAAGTCCCAAATTGGTTGATGTGAGAACGTGGGGATGACTGGTGGGCAGCTAGATTTTACAAATGAAAGTGCAGGATGCCCAATTCAATTTGAACTTCAGATAAACAACGAATCATTTTTTTTAGTGTAAGTATAACCTATATAATACTTGGTACATAATTATAGTAAAATATCATTCATTATTTATATGAAATTCAAATTTAACCAGGCATCTTATATTCTAGCTGGCCACTCTATGATTGTAGAATATCAAGTACTATTGTTTATAGCGTTATGGAGCGTTCAAATGCATACATAACATTTCTCCTTTCAGACCCTTAGAGTCTATTTTAAAAATCAGCATAAGGAAAAGTTCTTCAAAAAGCGTGTGTGGGGGGTGTTTTGTTTTTTGCTGTAATCTGGTACCTGCTATTTCATTATTCTATTTTTAGAGATGGTACTTTGGCACTCAAGTTATGTTTCTCCCCCAGGGTGCCCACTTAAATTTCAACTTGAATTTCAGATAAACATTGAATTTTTTTTTTAGCATAAGCATGTCCCAGGTGGATAAATGGAATCAAAGCTGTCTCTTTCCTTCTGAACTGTAACTGGCCAAGGTTCCCAGGGGAGGATGGTCTAATACACCCAACTTTTCTACTCTTCCCTGGTTGAACAATAAAAAGGGAAAATAAAAACACACAGACATCCCCAGGCCAGTTGCTCCCTGATGCAAAGGACACACCTTGGAATGAATCATGGGACCTGAGTACATCAGAGACCTGTGTGTGGGCAGGAACCCCCAAACAAGCGTCTGAACATTCTGCTTCTTTCCTGACACCTTTTATCACAGCTCCCCCAGGACGCTATCCAGTATCTGAATACTTCTGAAGGGTCAGGCTCTTTTCTCAACCCCCATCCTCCTTATCATTTATTGTGTGACTGCAGTGTGCTTGCCCCTGTGTCAAAGTTCTTTATATTAAACCAAAAAGTACTTTTTATGACCTTCAAAAGGTAAGCCCTTTTACATTTCTGACTTTATATATACCTTCCTTTTTATATTATACCATCCTTTCTATATTATACATGTAAAAACTGAGGCTGGGAGACATTAACCAGTTAGTTCAACAGGTAATTAGTGCTGATCCTGTACACTAAGCTAGGTCTTCCGATTCTAAATACCCAAATACCGCTTACCAGCTCCCCCACAGCCTCCAAGCTTTTCTGCCATTGAAATAGATTTTCCCCAACTCTGCGTGCCTAAGCATAAATTCTAGGTTACTAAGTGCAAGCATTACAGGGGCGCGAGAGGTAAATTCCAAAGGGTTTTACAAGTCTGTATAAAACAGATAAAGCCCCTGTTTGTCCGTAGTTAAGTCTGTACTTAAAAGATAAAGCCCTATCAGTGGCTTCTAAATTCAGGCTGTGAGATATGGAACAAAGTAATGCCTGGAAGTAAGACTGTGTTCCAGTTTGCTCAAGACATGTTAATACCACAGCCTGGTGCACCCTGACTGCTACTGCCCAGTGAGGCAAGGGAGTAACTAACCGCCCCTGTCTTAGTCCACTCCAGGTGGGTCATACTATTTCTCTTGAATGAAAGAAATATTGATCAATTCCTACTAATGATGTTGGTTCATGCTTTGTGGATAGAGAGCCTGAACTCCTTTCCTAGCTCCACTATTTATGTGAGACCTTACTTAGCTTTTTATTTCACCTTTCTGTGTCTCAGAGTCCTAACCTGTAGGATGGGAATAATAATCTTACCGGCTCCATAGTGGGGCAGAGAAAAATAAGTGAGGTCATTCTTGGAAAGTGCTAGAACAATGTCAGACACGTGGTAAGTGTTCAGTAAAATTACCTGTGATGACAAGGATGTGCAAGCAGGGTTCTTAGACTTCTGATGCAGTAGATCTCTTCAACATTCTGCTGAAGCCTTGACTCTCAGCATCGTGTTTCTAAATGCATAAAATAAAATACATGGGAGTACACGACAAGCTTAAACACTATCTAAGGTAATTCATTTAAATGCTTAAATACTATTGCCAAAATATTTTTTAAATCTAATAAATGATATAGTAACCTGGCGTATTCTCTCTCTCTCTCTCTCTCTCTCTCTCTCTCTCTCACTCACTCTCCATATATATATAATTGATTTCAGAGAGGAAAGGAGAGGGAGAGAGAGATAGAACCATCAATGATGAGAGAGAATCAATCAACAATGAGAGAGAATCATTGATCGGCTGCCTCCTGCATGCCCCCCTCCCCCACTGGGGATCAAGCCTGCAACCCAGGCATGTGCCTTGACTGGGAATCAAACTGTAACCTTTTGGTTCATAGGTCGACACTCAACTGTTGAGCCATGCCAGCCAGGCAACATGGCTTTCTTTATTAAAGCCTTAAAAAGATCTACAGGTAATTGCATATCTAACAGTAGATATATTGAGGTAGTGGTGAGTATAAATGATATTTCGAGATGTCTACCACAACTGACATGTGATATAACAATTCCGTAATTTCTATTAGTGACAGAGTTGCTGGTACTGCTGGTAAAAAGTTCTATGGTTTGTTGCCTATACTCATCATCAAAGGAAATGCTCAATTTCAGTTAGAGGTTTAAATAAAGATGTATTTTTGCTCCATCCAAGTTCATGGATCTCTTAATTTTAACCTATGGACTCTTTGAAGGTCACTGACCCCAGATTGAGAACCCCGAGGTACATGTTTTTGGTGGCCGTATCTGGAGAATGATTGCTGATTCAGTTGAAGGAAAGCAGTACATATTCTTTCCTATATTACACCTATCATATACTTGTAACTAAAAGGTAAATAAGCACATTTTAATGAAAAAAGAAAATGAAAGTGAGAAAAAAAAGGAATCTAAAACAGAGAAGGCAAATAGCTTTCATCTTCAATGTCCACTTTAACAGACTGGTAGTGGTTGCCTGGAACATTGTGTCTGAGGTTAGCTCTGGGTTATAGGGAAGAGTAATGTAATTGATTAGCAATGTCTACATGACAAACAGCCATACCATCTGACCTAGTCCATTGATAAGCATGCTAGGGACATAAAGTGTTAGGGAGCAATAAGCTATAGCAAAAATATCATTTATTTGTGTTTGTACCATTTATCTTTTTCTTTTCTTTTTGTTTATTTGTTTGTTTGTTTTTAGCATAAATGCATTTAGGCTTTTTAATTTGCTAGTACAAAGAAGTTTGTATAGCTCTCTCTTGTATATTCTCCAAACTTCTTAAATCTATTACCGGTTAGGAGTGCTTTCAACTGTAAGAACATATATCAAATTAATGGTAGCTTATACACATAAGGCTTATTTTTCTCACATTATAAAAACTTGGTAGGTGAATCATTTTTAAAAAAAATATATTTTTATTGATTCCAGAAAGGAAGGGAAAGGGAGATCAATGATGAGAGAGAATCATTGATTGGCTGCCTCCTGCACGTCCCCCACTGGGGATTCAGCCTAAAATCCAGGATGTACCCTGACCAGTAATCCAAATGTGACCTCCTGGCTCATTGGTCAATGCTCAACCACTGAACCACACCTGCTGGGCAAGGTAGGTGAATCATTTTAGAGCTTGTCCACTGATCACATAAAGGAGCAAGGTTCTTATATTTTTGTTCTTAGATCCTTTACTAATGGCTTTATGACTTCACACTTGTCATGTGAAGGATGCTGAATGGTCGCTATAGTCCCAAGCACTGTGTATGTGGTCAAATCATGAAGAAGGGAGAATGAGTGGTGCCTGTCAGCTCTCTTCTGGCGTCTGCCTTTTCCATCAGGAACAAAAACTATCTTTGCCAAACGCTTGGCTTATATGATTATCCTGAAATACAAAGGGGGCTGGAAAAGCAAATATTTGGCTTACCCGCCTCTGCAGTAAAAAGGTTTGAGGAAGAAAGCGGGTTAGAATGACTTTAGGTTTGTCAGCTAGTAGGGTCTGCCACCCTGGAATACAGAGGTCCACCAATGAACAGGGAACTGGTAGTTCTGCCAACAAAAAGCCTAGCAGTTCTCTACTGAAAGAATTTGAAACTTGATGGATCCCAAAGGCTGGAAGTGAAATTCACTCTTTTATCATAAAGACAAGAAAATATGATTTGATTAACTAGAAGTTATGCATGGCCCTTGTGTAACTCTTCAATTTTAATAGCAGGCAGTCTGCATATCGAGAGATAATATTGCATAACTAAACTAGTTGATGAAGATTGCCCTATTAGCAAAGTGTAATCATCAGTCATTTATGCAAACTAAGTTGACTCTGAAAAATACCCCATATTAAACTGTTCAGACACATCTGGATTTTATTTAATCCATACAGTTTATCTCCGAAAAAGGTAGATGTAATCATCATTATCCCTGTTTTTGTACAGTCAAATGGGCGTAATAGTAAGTTGTATAAAATCGGCACTTAAACAAGCGATACAGAAACTTGATGAACACTGCAGCTGTGACCTAATGACATAGCTACACCTGTATCATACTATGTCAGCAGAACCTGGAGGTCACCTAATCTCATCTTTATTTCATACCTAAAGAAGACTGAGGCCTATAGAGATGGACTGACTCGTTGATGGTCATGCAGTCTTACTGCTATGACAGAAACACAGCATTTCACTCCTTTCTGAGAAAAATGCAAGAGTGGATGAGAGTACTGTCTCTATGTGGTACCTCCTAGCTGGGTGGCAAATCTCAGGAGCATTGCTTCACCTCTGAGTCAATTTTTCTCATCTCGGGAAAAGGAATAATGGAACCCTAGGGCTGTGCTAAGAATTAAATGAATTTATTCAGGGAAATCACATAGAATTGTAGCAGAATCAATTACCTCTTAGCTATTTTTGTTATTGATTTCCTTTTACCATCCATAATTATCAGCAACAGCATCCTCATCACTAGTATTACTACCACTGCTACTACATAAGGCTACATATAGTTGTCATCCCCTTTAAATTGCTCCTGCAACTCACAAACATGAGTTATTATAATTTTTATGTTTATTTTATTTTTCATTTTTATTATATCTATATATTTTATAAACTTATTTCATTCATTTATTTTTTATTGCTATATTGTTTCAAGAAATTTAACACTATTCGAGTTCTATGATTCCAAATACATAGTGATTAACACTTTAATTAGAAACTTTACATATGCCAAAATATATAGTAGTTGCCACCAGCTGTTGGTAATTCTGGGTTATCTAGGCCTAGTTTTTTGTTTTTGTTTTTTTGTTGTTGTTGCTATTGAGAAACCAGTAATCTCCCCTATATTCAATGTCTAGAAGTCAGATGCTGTCAAGGAGATAAATAGGAGAGAGACAAGTGGCAAATTGTCCTTTGGGCTCTTAAAAGTGCGGATGGGTGAACTACTTTGAAAAATGTAAACTATTCTGCACCATTGGCATTATTTATGACTGTAGAGAACAGGAAGGTGAGACAGTGAGAGCAGAGAGGAGAAAGCCTGCAGTACGTGGCTTTCAAAACAATAGATCCCAAACGTGTTTGCCAAACTGCTCTGTGGCCTACTCTAGGGCGGGAAGGGCGAGGGAAGATACTTTCTTAGAGCTCAACATTATTCTCATTATTTCTGCACTTTAGTTTTCCTGAAACAGCAGCAGCAAGTAGTTTTGCCAGAGTAAGCGGTATTCTCTAGCCTTCTCACTCTAATAGATATTGTCCCTGGATGAGACCTTCTCCACTTCTTCCATAATAACTGCTTGTGGGGTGTCCTCGGTGTGCCACGCTTTGAATAATGCTCTTCGCTCTTGGCCTCCCTTTTGTCACTTGCAGAGGGTCTGAGCATTTCTGGGTTCCCCTGGGTCCTCAAGAGAAGACAGGGCTTCCGGTTATACACCTGGAGCTCTTCCCACAGCACCAGAGCTGTGAGACATGTGACCAGCGGCCAGGTGCACATTTGCATAGAAACTCGCATTAGAAGTTTTTTTGTTGAGTATTGACTTTTTTTTACAACCCACATTCACCTACAGAACTTTGTGATATGCATTGTTATTTTAATTTCATTCTATGTTTTATATTCCTCCCCTTGTCCTTCTACCTTCTCTTTTCTCTGCTTTAGATTTGTGCTGTGTTTTCTGTATGGCTGTAAGCCTCTTAAACCCTTTCTGCAACAAAGCAGGGAATACGTACATAAACAGGTGAATTTTTTTTAAAAAACAGGAATCGACTTAAAGCCTCCAGTGAAGTAGAATCCGTAGACCTTCCAAACTGCCACCTGATTAAAGGCATCGGTGAGTATGAGAAAATGCTTGCGATATACCTTCCATTGTTTGGCCACCAACATTCAAAAACTCATTAACAGTATTTTGGCATGCCAATTACTGTTTCTCAGAGGAACAATCGCATTGGAGCAACAAAACCTCTTTAGCCAACCTCTTTTGATCTCATCCCCTTGTATTTATTTTTCTCTTTTACTCTCATTGTAATTTATTATTTATATAATCCTATATTTATTGTTTGCTTTCTTGCTTGCTTAGTGACATTTCTGAACTATTTTTGTAAAGTATGTATTCTTTGTTGTATGTGGCCACGAAGATATGTGTTCCATTAGCCTAGTAGTCAGCTAGTAGAGGTAAGACAGAAGGAAAAGAAGTTGTTATAAAATAGAAAATAACAATCTCTCAACAAACATCTCTATTCCCCATAGAAATAACCCCAGAGGGTAAAGGTTTTTTCTTATCCTTCCTGATATTTCCAAGGCAAATGCAAACAAATACATGCAAACGTCAGAGATATTGCTGGTTTGGAGCCAGACCATCACAATAAAGTGACTATTGCAATAAAGTGAGCTGCAGTCTTTTTGCTAGTGGAGGGTCTTTGTTTTACTTTGTAAAAAAAAAAATCAACATCAGGGAAGCACATATATATCTACCTTTTTTCATAAAAGGCATCTTAGTATAAGATTATATTCTGCAACTTGCTTTATTCCAACCATAGTATGAGCAGCTTCCCACATCAGCTCATGTGGGTCTCCAGTGGTTGGCAAACTCATTAGTCAACAGAGCCAAATATCAACAGTACAATGATTGAAATTTCTTTTGAGGGCCAAATTTTTTAAACTTAAACTATATAGGCAGGTACATTGTTATTAACTTAATGAGGGTACTCCTAAGGCTTAGGAAGAGTCACACTCAAGGGGCCAAAGAGCCGCATGTGGCTCGCGAGCCGCAGTTTGCAGACGATGGGTCTAGCCCATTCTTCATTCCTTTTGATATTTACATGTACCATGACTCATTTAACCATTTCCCTCTTAATGCACATCTGCGTGGTTACAGTTTTTTGCAATGACGAACAAATCGGTGAACATCATTGTAGGTACAGCTCTTGCATTTGTCTGTAAGATAAAGCCTCAATAGTGGATTATTGTTCAGTTAGTGTATGTTTAAAGTTTTGGTAGCCAATGCTGCATTGCCCTCGAATCGGCAACACGTATAAACGCAGTACGGCATATTTATGACCACATTCTCTCCACACAGCGTTCAAAGTGTTCTTCTGGCAGAAATAAAAGTGTAGTGACCTTTCCTAATCACACCCAAGAAGGCTTCGCGCTCATGAACCCTCTGCGTTTGCAGAGAGCCTCTTCCACTTCAAAGTTTCTTTTGTTCTGTTCCTCGCCTCTCCTCTGCACATCTGTTTCCTATGTGCTCTGTCTCCTTTTTTCCGTGGCTGCTTTTCTACTCTTCCTGGTCCCATCTCTCTTCCTCTGGACTCCTTCCTCGTGGGGCTTCTCTTTGTTGCAGTTGCCCAAACACTTAACAGGAGGATACACACTCAGTATCAAGGACCAGATGGGCCAGATCTGTGCCGAATAATACAGACAGTTCTAGAACTAAGTTGCCTGGAATCCCAAGAAACCCAGCAAGGCATCCTGCCTTCTGGCTGCCATCACGAAGAGCCCCCTCAGAATTGGTCACTAAGCAAAAGCCAGATGGCATCTGGAAGGAATGTTGTACAAGGTTGGGAGGTTGAGTCGGTGATCTTTAAGGTTACTTTCGCTGCTGAGTTAATAATCGTCCAATTATTAAGCGGCCCTTGGCCTTGTGAAGCCCACCTTCTGTGAATTCAAGTCCCAGAATAGACAGGAGGCCACAGCCAGACACAGTACAGGACAAACTGCCAAATGGTTGCTGTTACAACTCACGGGGATGGACGGCTCCTCAGAGAAAAACAAGCCCAACAACATTTGTATTCTGAACGAGCATCTGTCTGTGTTGCTGACCTTTATGTTGTGATGTGTGTGAGCTGCTGTCTGGAATTGGGAAGAACGGGGAAATATGTCACCTACGGTCCCTCGCGCAAAGTGTTTAATGCCTCTGAGGCGCTTCAAAAGGCAACAGAGCGAAGACGATGAGTGATTAGAAGCACATTTGGGATACATTTTTAGATCTAATTAGAATTGAGCCTTTTTTCTTTCTTTCTTTTGGCTTATGCTCTGTGGTTAGCACACACTATATGAACATTTGTCGAATGCTATGTTAGCGATGCATAATGGTTAATAATAGCTTGTAACCACACGTTATATGTTTTTAACAACAGTTGCTTGTTCGGTGGTCTTTGATTACAAGGAATAGCAGTGCACTGTGCATACTTTCCCATGTAGACAAAAGCACTTCTCAGGGTATGCAGCAGGGATAGAGAGGTTCTCATTTTTAGTTTCTACTTTGGAAACAGTAGTAACCTATACTTGAGGCCAAGTGGTTCCTCCAAGAGATAAGACCACCACCCCTTACCCTTTATTCCCTCCCCCTAGTTCCCCAGAGCACACGTACCAATGCTACATTTACCATGGCTGGAAATCAACTCTTTGGAACTCTTGGGTGCTTTATACATACACACTCTGTTTTAATAAATAATAATCACCTACCACATAAAATATAAGTTATGTACCTCCTGTGGAACAGAGAATGAGTTCACTATTCCATTTTTTGTATTCCTTCTCAGTGTATCTTACAGAAAGAAACTAAAATTTTACCACCCAAGATTTGGCATACTATCAGTATCTAAATAATAAAAATTATAACAATAAGATCTAGTTAACTCTGAGGCTTGAAAGTTTACAAAATTTTCTAAATGTTTTTTGAAAATGCTGGCATTCAGAGTCACAGACTAAAACAAAATTTTGAATGTATTGTCTCTCTCAAGTAATTTAACTTGGCAATCAAGACCTTTACAACTGCTGCTTGGGAGATTTAAAAACAGCATTAAAATTTGTAGCCTTTGTCATTAAGTACTTTATAGTATGCCTATGAATAGGAAAACAGCAAAAACCCATTACTATGAGATATAGACATTTTTTTTTCTTTTTATAACAGATAAAGACCCAAGGCTCAGAGAGATGGAGCAACTTTTGCAAATTCTCTTTCTAGTATCACACTCTCCAAGTGATTAATACACATGCCTAAGTGGTAAACTAAAAGTAGAAAAAACAGGCTATCTTACATACTGGACACTCTATTGGGTATGGCAAGGGCTGATTTGCTGTTATAAAGTTACAATAAGGAACTTAGAGAAGAGAGAAATTTATTCCCTCTTACATGATAGTCCAAAGATAGGCAAATGGCTTAGTGATTACATGACTGTGCTCATAGTGATTACATGACATGGTCATCCTGGAACAAGGGCTGGTGAAGCAACACAACTCTTGTTTACGTATTGCTTCCATCTCGGTCCAAGACTAGAACTCTGGTTAGTTGCCATTTCCCATTAGGAAGGGGAAGAATGAAAATTTACATGGATATTAGTTTTACTTTATTTTACCTAGTAGTTGCATACATCTTATACTATCAGATCCCATTAACCTAAACATAGACAAATGACCAGCAGGAAAAAGCAGGAAATAGCCAAAGCTCTGTTGCCATGTGCCTGTAGCCGAAAAGGGGGAATATGGATAGTGGGGAGCAGGTGGCCATCTCTGACACGGAGAGGTAATTGCTAATGGAACAAGAGGGATCAAAATCAGATATGCTAAGCCAGAAGACTGTCTAGAGAAAAAGTTTTGAAAAGTTTTAAAGAAAAGTATAGGATATGAGCTGGTGAAGATCTTGGTGAGAGGCATGGAAGCAAGCATTTTTGGGCAAAAGCCAACATATGGAATTGACTACAGTTGAATTTACAAAGTGAAGTGTCTGCAGAGAGGAACCAGGGGATGGTTCTGACAGAAAATTCATTAAATTTGAAGTTGTATTTTTCCCCCAATGTGCTTTTAAGTCAGAACAAAAGGATTTAAGTCCCAGCTTTCCAGTCTGTGATCTTGAATAATTTGCTTAACCTTTCAAAGTCTCCATCGTTTGTACTCTAAAATAAGAGATAATGGCATTGCTTTTTAGGGTTATGAAAGTTATATGAAAAGATGGATATAAAGTACTTAAAAGGAGCCTGATACTTGGTAAACAATATATGTGAATAGCTACTACCATTACTTTACTATTATTATTGTTGGAGAAAAAATTTCTCCAGCATTGACTACCTTTCAGTAATTGCCCTTAAGTGGTGACAGAGGTGAGAAGAGATAATAAACACCTATTATAGTAACGTCTGTAGAAATGAAATGAGGCAGTAGATCTGGAAAATATTCTACAGAAAGCTATAGGTAAGACATCCCCTGCCCTCCCCTTGGAATTAGGCCGTGGATTAAACATAAAAAAGTTACACTACAGTTGAAATAAAAATACATTTTAAAAACATTCTTCATTCTTGATTATTTAAATAATACTAGTATTTGTAGAAAATTTTAATTAAAGTATAAGGAAGAAAATGAAAATCACTCATAATCCTAATATCCAAAGAAACATTGTTGATTTTTTTCTATATATTTTTTTGTCTGTGTGTAAGGATGTATACATTGAAATAAAATAATCTTAATTTTTAGGAACTACAACTTTTAATTGAGCTCCTACTAAATGGATCCAGAAAGCAAAACTTGGACTAGAATTGTGTGTGTGTGTGTGTGTGTGTGTGTGTGTGTGTGTGTGTGTGTAGGCTGTCCCAAAAAATGTATACACACACTTTGAGTAATTATAAAGTATTTATTAAAATACACTTCATTTCCAAAACTGAGCTATCAGCTGTTAAAGTGTGTATACATTTTTTTGGACATCATGTATGTATGCTGTAGAGTCCCCCTGGTCCTTGCTCACTACTAGTTGAGAACCACCATGGGACTAGAGCCTCGTGGTTCTTAAACTTTTTGAGGTATCCCAGATGCCTTTTTGAATCTGCTAAAGGCCCAACACCCTTTTCATAGAAACATCTGCACATACAGAAAACATTTTACATTGCATAGAATTTCAAAAGATTCATAGACTCTTTGCAACTCATTTTGACTCCTTAGGGATCCACAGACCCCAGGTTAAAAGTTCGTTCACTAAATCTCCTTTCTAGGGAACAGGCAGATGGATCATCTTTACAAAGTGAAGTTCTTGGCATTTTTCTTTTTTACTTTTCTCTACTATGTTAGAGCCAGCAACACTGGAAACAACCAGCCAAATGCAAACTCATGAATCAAAACAAAAATGGCCAGGTAAATGCTGTTTGGTGTTGTTTTTTTTTTTAGACAACAATCTTGGTGGAATCCTATGGAAAGTTCCTGAAAGGGAAGATTAGATTTTGTGGACTCAAAAAAATGTGTCATGATTTGGCTTAATCTAAGCCATTTTTATTCCTCTTTTCTTGTGTTTGGGTCTATTATCTGTCGGCGGAATTTACACAGTGAGACTGCTGGGAAGGCCTTATGTCTAATTATTTGCTGTGCTGTGTGGAGTGTACTGCAGACAATCGATAAACAATCAATAGTAATTGTAGTCTGCCTCAGAAACAAGCGTTAGAAGCTTCAGCTGGCTTAGGTGCCTGGTATTTTTCATTAATTTTCTTTTACTAGTCTCCCCCCCCCCCCCCCCCCCCGTAATTTAAAGCCTAAATTTAAAGACTAAACAGAAAGCTTTCTTTGCTCATGAGAACAAGCAGGCATTGTTTTTAAAGAGGGACTATGTAATCCCAGGTGTTTCATCTCTGTTAATGAGAGAAATGTCTGTGATTGCTTCAGATTGAATGAGCAGAGAAAGGGACAAGGCTATTTGCATGGTTAAATGGCCAGGAGCCCTTCATTTTGAAAGTAATATTCCCCTGATGTCAATTACTTTTGTACAGACATCTGGATTTTATCATCAGAGTGTGCAGATGTCAACTTTTTCTGTATTATCTTTGGAAATGTGGTGATTACTTGACTTTGATTGGAGTAAACATAAACTATCTAACATTTAAAGTCAGAAGTTCACTGCAAGAAGGGATTTAGACTGACGTTTATTGAAGAGAGTAGTTCCTTGGAAAAAAAATCAGAACCATTCCTAAAGATACACTGATAGAGTAAACAAAGTCCTAGTTATGCTCTGTTTAACAAATAACAGAACTTGAACATGACATTTATGTGTTTTTTGAACCTGCAGAAGCTGGCGCTGAAGATATTGACATCCTTCCCAATGGTCTGGCTTTCCTTAGTGTGGTGAGTACCTTCTTTTTCCCCAATCTAAGAGGAGGGGATGCAAGGGGGTTTGATGAGGCCAGCAGAGCAGTGTCTTACGTTTTAAATTCCGCACTTTTAAAAATGTTTTGGAAAAAAAAAACAAAAATGACAAATCAAACAGGATCTTGGAAAACTTCCTCACACTTATCTGAATTCAGAGATGAAAAAGTCTTTAGTAACTGATATATTGTTCTTTATGTCCCCAATGCATTGCACTAACTATCCCATTGCACTAAATATTCCATTGCAATCTGTGTCTTAAAAGTTTGTTCTGAAAAAGAATATTTGGGGCATTATTGTGAATATTTGATACTACATTATATTGTTTCAAATACAGCATCTACCTTTTTTTTCCATTCGATATTCAATTTTGAGCTAATATTCTTGCTGTTATTTATTTATTTTCAGACAATATACAACTTTCCCAGACAAGGCCAATGTTTTCCTTTTTCTTTCCCGCTGAATAGCTTATCATAAATAGAAAGTCATTCACTGAGTTTATTCAACCTCTTTACTGTTCCTTCATTCTTATAAGCTGAAAATGAATAACCTCTGCAGTCATACGTTAGAAAGACCTCAAAGTTGATTGGCCTATGAGATGCTGGCCTGCATCAGTGTACATTGCAATTGGAAAACTGTCTACGTGGGCTGATGGGGACGTTCTGAGCGCCTTTCTTCCCTGGCCGGGGCCGAAGTGGGGGTGCTGGGCATCTTTATGGGTTCAGTTTTGCTAGAGGAAGCAGGATACACCTTTGAAGGCAGCCTGTAATTACTCTGTTTCCTCTCAGCATCCCTTATTTTCAGGCTCTGAGATTCTGGAGGGATGTGGAAAAGTTGAAGATGCTTTAGAAGAGAGTCACAACACTAATAAAACAGTTGTCAGACTTAGGGGGAAGGTGAGAGAACTCAGCTCAGATGAGAATGAGGCGAGACCACTCGCCAGGCTCCTGATGATTTTTATAGGAAAGACAGCGAGCGGCTGGTTGTTAGCACTGAGGGAAAAAGGAAATGCCGTGGGCTTTGGCAGAAACACCAATGTTTATATTACATTTTTAAAATACAGTTGTAAAAAAAGTTATTTAATAACCTACGCAGAATTAGTAAAATGATATTTCTTGTAGGACTCTGGGTCTATTTGCACATATGACTATCAGCTTAAGAAAAAAACAGTAGGACTAATAGTTAAAATTATACATAACTAGAGATGCAAAAATCCTAAGTAAAGTAGAAGGCAGTTGCTTTTTTAATTTTTTTAAAAGGAGGTGTTGTCAGAGATTTGTGTAACCCAGAACACACCCATTTCAAGATTTTCTCCCCATAGGAATAAATCTGAATTTGGAGGAGTGAAGTCTCCCAGTACATAAATCTAGAACAATTTCAGCTGAGGGGCTTTAATAGCCACAATGATCTTATAACTGTCAACAGAATTGCCTCTGGTGTGTTTTTGTTTTGTTTTGTTTTGTTTTTGTTTTGTGTGTGTATCCTTCCTTGGTTATATAACTTTCTTTTCTATTCTTTTTTTCAAATTTAGAAATGAACCCACTTTGTTTCTTTAATTTACTCTGCACTGTTTCTAATATTTCCCAGAATACGCTCCTTTCTACATGAATAGCTCCTACATCACATCAGTTGTTGGTTCCTCTCCCAAGCAATTTAGTTCATCCAACACATTCTGTTCATTGGCTATGGATTTGAGGGTCACCTCAAAACTAACATCACACTTGATGAGGAGTGGGAAGACATAGAAGCGACTGTAAAGCTGATTTAAATGGCAGTGTGGATATGCTTAACACTACTGAACTGTACACTTAATATGGTGAAGATGTTATGTTTGTGTGTCTTTTACTGTCAGTAAAAATAAAATAATTTTTTTAAAAAAAGAGGAAAAACAGGTTTAAATGTTAGGGAGAATTAAAATAACCAGGAATAGTCATCACCATCCCCTGTGCGTGGAAACCCTGCTATTCTTTATGGGATGTTGATAAAGAATAGAGATTATTAACTGCTGAAGTGGTGTTGCCAGGTAGCAGTAGAGAAGTTCCAGTTTATTCTACTTGCTGGCCCTGCCAGCCGTGAACTTATGTCATTTTGATAGATTTCTTTTTAATTGGAGAGAATTTCCTTTATGTCCAATTTTGTGCATAAAAACAAGACTTCTTTTAGTACTCTAAAATTTGCATAGAATATGTCTGAAAAAATTTAAAAGAGGAAAGACCTTGATTATTTCAGTGAGTGCCGGAAAAGCATTAAATAGAATTCAACCTGATTAAAAGATCCAGGAAAACTAGAAATAGAAGATAACTTTCCAGAAACCTACAGCAAATGTAATTCTTAATGGTTAAATAATAGCTGCCTTCCCATTAATGTTTAGTGAAGGAAGAAAATGCCGCCCCCCACCCCCCCCCCAAAAAAAAAAACACTATAAGCACTAGCAATCTACTAGAGTTCTTCATAACCCAAGAAAAAGAAATATGAGGTAGATAAACAGACAAAACTGCTATTATTTTCAGATAGTGTGTTACCTGGTTTTTAAATACGCTAATGGTTGGATTCAAAATGAACATATAAAACTAAATGGCTTTCTCATGCACTAAGAAAAACCAAATAGAAAATGTAATAATAATAATAATATTTTATTCAGCACACCAACTTAATCTCCAGAATTTATACAGAAACATAAATGAGCAGAAATATTTAAGACTATTGTGTAAAGATCAAGCAATGAGTGTGCAATATGGGGATATATATATATATATATATATATATATATATTTGCCATATCTATCTATATCGCATATCTTATAAAGCTATAGTAATTAATAAGTAATTAATAATAATATAGTAATTCATGTGAATAAGCATGACTCCCCAAACCGACCAATATGTAAACAGGAATGTAGTACATGATAAAGGTGACATTCGGAATCAATGGGAAAAGGACAGACTGTGTGCCATACACTGATCCAGTTCCTGGGTTCTAGCAGTGAACAAATGAGACAAAGTTCTGACTCATGTTCCAGTGGGGAGAGAACAAATATATGTCAGATAGTGGCAGTATTTGAGCAAAATATAAAGTAAGGTGAGGCATTGGAGAGTGGTAGCTGAGGTGAGGGTGGAGTCAGGCTGCCATTTGTATATGTATGTGTATATGTCAAATAGCAATAAGTGACATTTGGTGCAGATATGATATAAAGAAATTGACGTAAGGAGTCCTAAATCTTGGTGGGGTTTGGCAGGGGCGGGGGTGCGGATTGCTAAGGCAAAAGGGACAGAGTGTATAAAGGCCCTGAGGTGAGAATGTGCTTGGTTTGTTTGAAGAGCATCAATGGCCAAGGCAACATGAGTGAGGACAGGGTAGTAGGAGGTGAGGGCGCAGAGATGGAGTGTTTAGGGTGGGGTAGGGTGAAGGTGGTGACCAGGGCAGATCATATAGGGCCTTTAGGCTATCCTAGGAATTTTCGCTTTTAATCTGAGTAAGATGGGAGTTTTTGATCCAATGTGTGACATCATCTGACAAAATTTGGATGTTGATGTGAGACTAGATTTCTGCAGAGAGTTAAAGACAGAAGCAGAAAGGCCAGTTAGGAGGCCACTGCGTAATTGTGGTGGTGGTTTAGACTGGGGCAGTCATGGAGGAAGTGGTGAAAGATGTTCACATTCTTAAGAAGGGACATATTTTCAAGGTAGAGTCAACAGGATGTGAGACAAAGAGGGGAGTCTTGACTGACTCCATTCACCAAGTCTTCTGGCTTCATAGAAGGGAAGTGCAGGCTGTGGGCTCCAGGGTCCACAGTCAGTATGTAAACTTTCACGTATCCCCACCGGGTGTCTCCCAGTCCACAAACCTTCTGGTTGCCCTCTGAAGAGACTAAACCTCTGGTCTTTTGCCTCAACTCAGAAAAATCAGTTATTCATCTTTTAGCTTTTCAGCTCCCAATTATTATTTTTTCTATTGTCTCCCCTCTGCTTTCTTTGTGTTTATAACTTTATGCCACCACCTTTAACCAAAGTCTCTATTTATCTTTTATTCATAGTTCCCACTTTAGTCCATAAAAATACTTAAGCCTTTGTATTTAACCTTTCCCTCTGTTTTGAAAAGGGTCTAAAATATCCAGGACTCCACAGCTTTGCACCAGACAAGCCTGGAGGAATACTAATGATGGATCTAAAAGACGAAAACCCGAGGGCATTGGAATTAAGAATTAGCCGTGGGTTTAATTTGGCTTCGTTTAATCCACATGGTATCAGCACTTTCATAGACAGCGGTAAGAGCTGATGAGCTACCAACATTAAGAAACTTATAATGGTTTGTAAATGACTGTGGAAAATAGATTCGGATCATGTCTGAAGTAAGAGAACAATTAACTCATGAATTATTCCTGAATTCTTCAGACAAATAAGTTGATTTGCCCCTGCCACTAACTGTAAGATATGCTGCATTTTGAAATTTCTAACAGCACCTTAAAGAATGCTTAGATTTCATGACCTTTTTATATACCTATGATCATGGCATTAAAAATAGCCTTATTTCTGAATTAAACTATAAACAGATTATTCATGAATTCTGTGTGTGGAGTGGAAAACACTCTCTCTTAAAGGTCAGGGGACCAATGATCAGAAATAACACCAGACAAACAGTGATGAGGAAGACAGGGAAGAAGAATGATCTGTTAGGTCGTCTAACAGCTTAGACATTTAACCTTTCCTTGCCTGCGGTATTTAAATGTCAATGTCTGCCTGAAGGTACTATGGCTGTCTTGTAAATTAACTCTGTTCTTTCAATTTTTCAGATGACACGGTTTATCTCTTTGTTGTAAACCACCCAGAATTCAGGACTACAGTGGAAATTTTTAAATTTCAAGAAGAAGATAATTCTCTTTTGCATCTAAAAACAGTCAAGCATGAGCTTCTTCCAAGGTACTTAGTCCTTTTGCTCATTCTCCAATTTATCTCCAACATTTTCAGATATTCCTTACGGTGGTCCTCTCCCTTATGCGCGCGCGTGTGTGTGTGTGTGTGTGTGTGTGTGTGTGTGTGTGTGTGTGTAGAGCAGGGAAAGTCAACGTCCTTCATCATAGTAATCAGCGTTCAATGCGGACTCTCTTGAGAAACGATGAAATGCTTGGTTCAGGGGAGATGCTCTTTAGGGCCATCATGGGAATATCAGACAAACCTCACCGTTTCTCCTGCTTTCACCTTCCATCTCAGAGGACACATCACCCAACTAACAATAATACCTGCCCGATTGAGGAACGGGAGCCTGCTTCATATGGAGTTTGCATGTTTTGCATGGGACTAACACAAAGAGCTTTTACAGGGTTAGCGGTAGCTGTGGGCTAATGACCCTACAGAACTGGAGAGATCTGGGTTGGGAGTGGGCTGCTACTACTTCAAGAGCACACGACTGCTTGACAATGGGACTGAAAGAGAATTGTGTTCCTCAACAGCTCAGTTTGCATTGACCTACTGCTTCTTTAAAGTTTGAGCTTGATGGATATTTTTAATTTCTACTCTCCTAACTAGGGAAGCATGTAACTTCCAATCATTCTTCCGGAATGATTCATAATAAATAGGAGCATAAATACCACCCTGGCAGCCTCTGCATGATAGAGCTCTTTCAGAATGAGGGGACCCACCTACCCTGTAGCTCCATTTTTTATTTAACAAAGGAGAAAGCAGCCCTTTCAGACAATTTTGCATCGGGTAATTGGAATTTAAATTTAATAACACTCTTGCCTAACTGGTTTTAAAAATGTAATTGTTTTTAGCATATAAATCTCTCACCTGAAGCATTGGATTATGGCAATTTCATCATCCATCTCTCTGCAAGTGTTTATGGAGTGCCTGTTCATTCTCGGCTGGTTGGCTTTGTGAGTCAGGTAGAAATTGAACAGTCAACCTGAGTTTGACTAATAACTAAGCAGAGAAACTTGGGAAAATCCAGCAACTTAGTAAATGGAAGCCAGGCAAATGTTATTGGCTTCCCAACCAGCCCACCAGCCAAGGAAGCTCCTCATCCAGCTCTATAAAGGATAGCTGGGTTCCTACATTTCTTGCTGTCAAAAAACATACTGTTGCCCAGCGGCATGGCTCATTGGTGAGCATTGACCTATGAACCAAGAGGTCAGGGTTCGATTCCTGGTCAGGGCATATGCCCGGGTTTGCAGGCTTGATCCCAAGTGTGGGGCATGTAGGAGGCAGCCGATCAATGATTCTCTCTCATCATTGATGTTTCTATCTCTCTCTCCCTCTCCCTTCCTCTCTGAAGTCAAAAAAGATATATTTTTAAAAAACATACTGTTGGCACTAAGACCTTTTATCTTTTAAAATAATCCTGCCTTAATTGCTAAGTGACATGTCTTCCAATTACCTGGTACCATACAAAATTGTTCTTTGGCAAATGATTTTATAGTATATTGTATATGACAATAGCCATGTGGTTTTAGCTGAGCTTTTCTTGGGAAACCTCTTACCAAAAACTTAAGGCATGTATTGTGTAAACTTTCTGGATTCCTAATTTTTAAAGTGGAGATCAACTGGGTTTTTATGTCCTCTCACATGTTATTTTTCTCTTTCAGTGTGAATGATATCATAGCTGTTGGACCTGCACATTTCTATGCCACCAATGACCACTATTTCTCTGATCCTTTCTTAAAGTATTTGGAAACATACTTGAACTTACACTGGACAAATGTTGTTTACTATAGTCCAAATGAAGTTAAACTGGTAGCAGAAGGATTTGACTCAGCTAATGGAATCAACATTTCACCTGATAAAAAGTATGATCCCTTATAAAAGTCATTTCATTTCTTCTCAGTCTGTCATGGGCCAAATTCTTCACTTTGTTTTTTTTTCAGTGTAGAAATAGCTTACTTGATATTTTTGGTTATTTTATATAAATATCATATGTCTGTATTTTATATTATATTATTAACATAATATTTATTATAATTATATATTTATATAATATGTAATATTATATGTCTATTATGTGATACATGATTAAATATGTATATATAATATATTAACTATGTAATTATATGTACTATTCTATATATTAAAAGGCCAATATGCAAATCAACCAAACAGCAGAACGACCGGTCCGGTCGCAATGACGTGCACTGACCACCAGGGAGCTGCCCCCTGGTGGTCAGTGTGTGCTTCCACAGGGGGAGTGCCACTCAGCCAGAAGCCCTGGGCCGGGCTCACAGCTGGCAAGCGCAGTGGTGGTGGCAGGAGCCTCTCCCGCCTCCGTGGCAGCACTAAGGACATCATTCGGACATCCTCCAAGGGCTCCCAGACTGCGAGGGGGCACAGGCTGGGTTGAGGGACCCCCCGCTGGGTGCACAAATTTCATGCACCGGGCCTCTAGTTAATTTATTATATGTTTACATACAATATCTAATTTTTGGTATATATCATTATAGAATCTAGTTTTATAAATGTAATTTTTAATAAGATGGGATCATATTTACATATACATCTCAAAGTATCAGGTAGGTGGTCCCTTTTAAATGAATATGTCATTGTTATATTGGCTGTATATTACTAAACTAATTTAACCCATTCTCTGTTGATGGATATGTAGGTTGTTAATTTTTTCTGTATAAATACCATCTTATATTTCTCATTTACCACTTAAACTTATCCAAATATTTTAAAAGGAAAAACTCCCTAGGGTAGCTTTATGGTATAATGGCTAAATCTTCAGATTTGGGAGTCATACAGACCAAGGTTCAAATGCCAGCTGGGCGCTGGCTGAATGTGGTGCTAATGAGCCCCTCCTCTTACACATTTGCACAGACAAACCCTTAAAATAGACTTGTTTGCTCGAAGAGTGAGCCCCTTAAACATCTTTAATAGATATTGTCAAATTGCCCTCCATAAGTATCTTACTATTTTTATATGTTCCACATATAAAACCACAGCTTATAGAAAGGATGATATATTCTTTATTAACTTTCCCTTTTACTGCCTTAGCCCTCTGAACAATTTACTACAAATATAATACGAAATAAATTTGGCAGTTCTTGACAACCAAATGTCTTTATTTTCATGACACAATTTCTTCTCTCTGGTTGACTACAGAAAATGAATGAGTAATCATTTAATTTAAATTGTCTTAACTGACCCAGTGCAACTTCTCCAGCCAAATCTGTTTTTCTTTCCAACCCTCATCTTTCTGAGAGTCAAACTTTGCAATCATTCAAGCTAAAATATAATACTAAAAGGGGCTTCAGCTTTTACTCCTCCTCTTGCACCATTCCTTGCTAATCAGTGAGCAAGTTGTGTTGGTTCTACCTTTGTGTCTATCCGCTACTCTCACCCTTTTTCCTTTCCACTGACATCTGCCTGGCTTAGTTTCTCATCCTCTCTGGCTGGAGTGTTAGACATCCTTCCAACTTGTTTCCAGTCCACTTCCATTCTCTGCCACCGCTGCCAATTTTTCTCTCTGTATTTCACTAGCCTTTAAGAGCCTCCAAAAGAGGGAGTTCTGTCTGCTTCATCTTGGACTCATGCTGAGCACTGCCAGGTGCAAAGCAAATGCCCAGTAATTGTTGAATGGAATGACTATTTGTTATCATGCCTCATTGTTATTCTAAAAATTCAGCGGAACCCAATTGCTTATTAAATCAAGGCAGGCTAAAGGTTGGAATTTCTTTAATAGGCTATCTCAGACCTCCCTTTTCTGCTGTTTTGGTACAGCCCATGCTTTAGACAAAGAACTCATTATTTAGCAAACATGCCTTTCTCATTCTTGCCCCTGTGCCTTTGCTCACATGTTTTCGCCTGTCTTGATGGTGTTTTGTTCTCATATCCTCAACTCCAGTCTCTAATTCCATATCACTGCAGATCCCCCTTCCTTTGTGAGCCCTTCTGTGTTCTCAAGAATTAGATATTTCTTCAGTCTCTAGACCGGAAGTATTTCTTATGGTAGCAGTCATGGTGCATTATTGTTTAATGTGTATAAACCAGTCCGATCATTCCAATATACTATAAACTTTTCAGGAAAAAGACTGTGTCTTTTTCATGTTTCTATCTGTCACAATACTGAGTTCATGGCTTTACACGTGATAATTGCTCAATAGAACAGTTGCCATGGAACAGTCAATTCAGTGAGGGAAATTACCATAAAGTAGTCCATTAATTCACCCTTTAGACAGATTGTTCTGAATAGATACGTAACTCTTATGCTTAAAATTTTCAATATGTAATTAAATATGTTAATACACATTGTAGTAAAATGTGTACTGTTCTGTACCATAACATGTAAATGATATGTAGAAGTATGGAATTATATTGTGAAATATAAAACCTTTTTTTTCTGAAGCCAAACATCTATTTCATTGTCCTTTCAGTGGCAAATATCACAGACTTTATATTCATAATGACATCCTATATTACTTTTCCTTACAAACCTTTTGAAAAATAATTGAACAATTTTGTGATTGTTGTAGCAACACAGAATTGATTTTGAAAGCTTACTTTTTAAATAAAAATTGACCTTTATCAAGCATTGCTTGAGGGCCCACCATTGATTAACTTCTCGGCAGGTTATTAAGACTCATTCTTGCATACTGTATTAATGAAGCTTTATGTTGTCATGGAGCTCTAACCAATGTGTCCTTTCTGCAAAGGTACATCTATGTAGCTGATATATTGGCTCATGAAATTCATGTTTTGGAAAAACAGCATAATATGAATTTAACTCAAGTGAAGGTAAAATATTTCTTTTTATATATAAAGTCAACATTAATCTAATATACTTTGAAATTGCATAGTTATACTATGCTTTTGCAATACCTCACTTAGAACAGACTATGGATGCCAGTGTTGCTATTTTGGGTTTTTAAATATCACCGTGGTATAACCGGCCAAGTCTCCTATTCCAGCAGTCATGAGGACTGCCCGGCATTACATGCAGTGGTGGGCTGGGAATGATATGTCACCTGATGCATTCCAATAAGAATTTTCCCAACTGAAAAGACTAATAGATAAATTCTGAAATGAAGATTTATGCATGCTATCATTTCTTTTAATAATAAATGAAGGTAGAAATTGGGTACCACACCATTATTATTTTCTTCCTACTTGACAACACATATTTTAGATTGATTAAGAATTTCCTATTTTTCTTTGAATGAGTTCTTTGAGCTCACTGATCATTATGCATCTTTTAAGGAGTTCATGTTTTAGAGTTTGGATATCAGCCTAACTTTCTTAATTTCAGGGAAGATGAAAAGTGGCTCTAAATCAGTTGATTAAATTTATTTGAACCAATATTGGTGTTAAAAGGCTGGCAGCAGGGAGGTGTGTGTAATCCTTGGCCCCCCGCCCCTCCCCCCATGCACCAAGACAGAAAAGGTTAGCCCTGAATTATTTAATTCAAGTTTCCCATGTTATTTAACTATTGACATTTTTTAATTTGGAAGGTACTCAAGTTGGATACACTGGTGGATAATTTATCTATTGATCCTTCCTCGGGGGACATCTTGGTAGGCTGTCATCCTAACGGCCAGAAGCTCTTCATTTATGACCCGAACAATCCTCCTTCCTCACAGGTTTTTATAGTTTTCGTTTTTCAACCTTAATTATTCAAGTCTTTTTGAACTACTAATACAATAAACTGTCATGGGGATGGTTGATGTAGTCCTTTTAAACCAATAATACAGTAAACTAATGTAGTGGTTTTGTAATTGCTTTAAGCCAATAATTGGCAGAATTTCACATTGCTCAAATACTTTTAGAAAGGTAATCTTTTGATGTATGAAATTGTGGTGGCAGCTAGTCAAAAGGCATTTTTATAAAGACATGTGGCCTCCCTATGTGGTATCCTGGCAATTTTTAAATACCTGGCTTATCGTCAGCTCACCACATGACATGGCTTTTGTTCAAGCTAAAGTTGTGTGAAAGTAGGCACATTAGTGTGGAAGTATTCCTATTAATGCTCAATTACTATAATAACACTAAATCCTGTGTTGGCAGGAAATAACTAGATAGTTTAAGAAAGTACTTTCTTTGAAGGTTTAAGAAAGTACTTTAATTTAAGCATTAAAAAAGGTTGGTAACTGCTATTTTTCAACAGCATGTCCTCTTAATCATTGTTTCATTGTGGGAGACAGGGATCATTGGTGATGGAGAGATGTGGATGTATGGCGGTTCTATAGTAATCCTTTGTCTCTTCTGAATAGGTTCTCCGCATCCAAAATATTCTCTCAGAGAAGCCTACAGTGACCATAGTTTATGCCAACAATGGATCTGTTCTCCAGGGAAGTTCTGTGGCCTCTGTATACGATAGGAAGCTGCTCATAGGCACTTTGTACCACAGAGCCCTGTATTGTGAGCTCTAACGTGGACTTTGGGTATCAAAGTGTGCTCACTTCTCTTAACAATTAGTTTTCAATGAATGGCTCGTTCTGAGGGAATTTAACTAGTAAAGCTGAGCCAGGATGTATGACGTGTATAGTTCATTTTATTTCAGGCATGAAAGGCCCCTTCAGTCCTTGTTGCACTTTTAACATAAAGGAAAATGAACAGGTGTTTTTTTTTTTAAATGCCAAGTAAAGGAGAGAGAAGAAAGCTGCTTTCGGTAAAGTGAATATACTTTGCACAAAATGAGCCTCACCTCCTTCTTCCAACTGCCAGAGCATGAATTCCACTGAATCAGGGTAGATCCCATTTCCTTAAAATGTGAGTGACCCCTGTGACTGTTTGGAACTACTGATAGGTAACGTGTGTGGATATTTTGTACTTACATCATTGTTTACTATTAAAGAGTTGGAGTTATATTAAAGACTAACTAAAATCCTATAATAATTTGGTCTGTGTTTCATTCTCAAGGCAGGTCCTCAGGGACTATGGGAAAGTGGCTGTTTCCTCGTGGAGTTTCTTTGGGACAAGCAGGCATGGCAATGTTTGGCAATGTTAATTTCTCTCCTTTCTCATTGAGAGCTGAATGTAAATGAGCTCTTTATTTGAATAAAATAAAACAATCAACTAAATAGGGCAACTCGAATTCTCCATTAGTATGGAGTGTTCCATCAGCTCTCTTCCTACTTTGCCTACAAAGAAGAGATCAATGTTGGGGCTGGAAGGTCAAGCAAACTCCTCATTGAACTCAACTGTGAACTTCATCAGGAGAGATTGAAGTCAGCTGTCCAGGGCCTACTACAGTTCTTTCCACTGACTGTACTTCCTATAAAACCACCTTAAGCCCTTGAGAGAGACTTTCCATTGTAACTTACCAAAAAGCACTTTACTTCACTTCTCATGGTTTTCCCCATCTTCAGCATCATTATCATCAAAATATTTGTGTTACTTACCAAGTGCCAAACAATGCACGAAAAATGGTCCATTCATTATCTCATTCAATCCTAAATACAGCCCTGAGAGAGTAGGTATTGATATTATATCACTGTTAACATTTCACAGATGTTCAGTCACACATCCAGTAAGGGGTGGTCCTCTATTTCTGATGCCAGAAGCTGTACCAGCTCCCAATTTACAGAAAGCTACCGCCACAGATCTAACGAGTATCTTGTTATTTACTCTTTTATCTCATATACAGTTTATTTTTTATATATTAGTTGGATTTCTGCTTTTAGATGAGTCATTTAATGGATTTTTAATGTAAATTACAGAAGTTTTCTTAAACCTGGCCTCTGTTCATTTGGCCTGTGTTTTTATTTACATTTTAAAATACTCAGTTACTAACGTATCTTGGAACTATTTTTTGCTAAAATAATTACAGTGTTTTGCTGTTTCCATTATCCATAGGAAAATGTTAAGTCATGGATGAACAAAGCAAGATTAAATACTATTCACTAGGGATCCAAAACCAAGAAGCATAAATTTTAATTTTAGATTATAACAATGACTGTCTAAAAAGCTACTTTTGTTAAAAGTACCAGAATACAGTAGGTACAAAATACACTTGTTTTTATTGTACTTATTAGAAATTTTATTTGGACAAAAGTACATATAAGTTAATAAGCACATGTATTACTTGTCTTAGAAATACAAAAATAATTTTTAAACTTTGGCCTCTGGGCCATGAAGGGTTCTATTTTATCATAAGTATATTGTGTGTTTATTTATGGTGCTCTTACTGTGATCATGTACTGAGTTTTAACAATTTGGTTGGTTATTAAGAGATCAAGTCATTCAAAAAGACTGAAATTGCAATTGGGCTATGCCACCACCAGGTGGATATAGGTCGAGAGCACGTGTGTGTGTGTGTGTGTGTGTGTGTGTGTGTGTGTGAGTGCGCGTGTGTGTCTGCATGCTAATTCCTTTTAATCCGAGATCTGGTTCAGTGACAATAAATATCCTTTTGTTTTTTCACAGTACCTCCATTCTTCTACAACAGCTAAATGTAAACATGAATATCGAATACAGGGAACAAGGAAAATAAAATATAAGATATATCACAGCATTTTTTTTTCTCCTTTTGTGTATTGCTTATGTAACTGGTTAATAATAAATAATCTAAGGTGGATCTTTTTTCTAGAGTTTGATTTGTTGAGTTTAATTATTTCTTGGAGTCACAACCTACCTAGGCTGGGGAATGTGTACTTGGCTAAGCAGTGAAGAGCTAATAGCACCCACCACCACACCACCACCTCCACCTTTCTTTGGCTACTTGTAGTTGTCATTACTTACTTGGCTTTCCATGAAAGGATTGCCATGTGTGAGAGGAGAAGGGTTGGGAGAAGCCCAGTAGTTCTCTTAGCTTTCTGCTCCTGGTTTTCGAGATTTTTATTCTATAAAAAGAAGGCAGAGAAGAAGATAAAAGAGCCTACTCTAGTTTTTAACTACAAAAAAATAACTTTCCGTTCACTTTAAATTTTTAGTATACTAAATAGCTTTTCTGTAGCTATCCCTGAGTTAGGCATTAGGATACAACAGTGAACCAGACACTGCTTATATTCTAATGGGAGATTCAACAAATGAGAAAATAGATGATTAGACAGATAGATGGATAGATAGATACATAGATAGAGTGATTCGAAGGGACTAAGCAAATGTGATTAGAGAACAATTTAGAGAAACCAATCCTCCCCAACTTTGAAAAGTTTAGAGCTGGGGAAAAATTGAAAAGCCAGTTCAATGACTACCTGTATTCACTTTACCTATATCTACCAATCACCAGCTATCAATTTGCAACATTGCTTTGTTTTTCCAAGTATAGAGGCTTTTGTTTTTCTGAGTCATTTGAAAGCAAGTTGGGGATACCATAAAAAAAGCATTTAATACAACTAACCTACTGAGCATCATAGCTTAGCCCAGCCTCTGTTAACCATGTGCAGAACACAATATCCGAAATACACCATCAACACAGTATACTGCAGAACAGTGATTTTCAACCTTTTTTAAAAATCTCATGGCACACATAAACTAATTATTAAAATTCTGTGGCACACTGAAAATCATATATTTTTGCTGATCCAACAAAAAAAAATAGGTATAATTTTGATCCTTTCACATCGGAAAGCTATTGTGTTGGCTGCTGTCATTTATTTTATTTGACATTCTAAAGGAAAAGAGGCCAGTGCCCCTGACTCAATAGTCAGTTATTGCCTGTTTTAAAAATTGTGGCACACCAGTTGAAAATCACATCTGTAGAATTGCAGCTGTTTACCCTGGTGATCGCATGGCAGACAGGGAGCTGCAGCTCACTACCGCTGCCCAGCATATGAGGGACTATGCTACTGCATATCACTAGCCCAGAAAAAGATCAAAATTCGCAAGTCGAAGTACAGTTTCTACTGAATGTGCATCACTTTCATAAAGTCAATCGTGAGTCAAACTATTATAAGGCAGGGACTGTCTGTACTGCAACATTAATATCCTTGCAGTCATCCTTGATTTTGTCTTTGTCCTTAAGCATCAGAAGCTTGACCTGATTCTATCTCCAACTGAGAGCTCAAAGCTGTTCTCCTATCTCTGCTGCAGCCCCGCGTTGAGCCCTCGATTACTTCTTATCCGAAAGTTTTCCAAGTGAGCACCTCTGTACCAGTCTTTTCCCTCTCCAACCCATTTCCTATCTACCCCATAGATAGGGGCCAACTTTTCTTTTCTCTTACTATCTCCAGGCCAGGTCAATCCTGTTCTCTCAACACACATTTACTCAGTTGAACTCACTAGAACTACTATTTCTTTCAGTTCCAGGTTGAGTGAATCCTCTTCTCTCAACACACATTTACTCAGTTGAACTCACTAGAGCTACTATTTCTTTCAGTTCCAGGTTGAGTGAATCCTGTTCTCTCAACACACATTTACTCAGTTTGAATGCATTAGAACTACTGTTTCTTTCTGTTTGTAAATAAAAACAGATCATGCCAGAAGATGCTACTTTGCTTTGCTCAGACTCCACAGCCTTCCCCACCGTCAGTCCCTCTCCCTCCAGCCTGGTCGTCTTTAGGGAGAAGGGGACATGCATTCTTCACCTGGCAGGAACAGAAGACCCAGAAGAAAGAAGGATCAAGGAGACTTTTGATAGCCTAACTTCCACCCAAAGCTATCCCCTCCTCCCCCCCCCCCCCACCTACTCTGCTCAACTTTCTGTAACTTAGTCTATTCCCCCCCCCCCCCACTTTTCCTAATTTTTCATTATTCCATCAACAATGGTGTTGGTGGCAGGGTTACTGAGAGCCACAAATCCACCCATTCAACAAATTGACCTGGGTGTCTGCCCTATTCAGATTGGGAAGCAGGACGCGAAGGCCTTGTTCTAGGGCTCTTGGAGAAGGGTGTGTTAAAGCTCTGCGCTTCGATTATGTTATATGCATTTGTCAGCTCTCCTACTGTCTTGAGAGCAATTCTCCAGCTCAACTCACTTCTTGCCTTCCAGAAACCTGACGTTGGGGCTCTGAACGCGTTCCCGGAGCTCCCGGCAGTTCATTTGAGGAGCTGAGCTTGAATTACGCAGCTTTTAGCAGCAAACTCCCTCTATCCACCCACCAGTGGGTGTGTTCTTGGCAAAGCTGCCACGAGAAGGAACACCAGACTTTTACCTGCGGCTCCGGGCTCCCTCTCTGTACTTTGAGCCTTGAAGAAAAAGAGAAAAGAATCCCTGTACTTTGCGCCCTGAAAAAAAAAAAAAGAAGAATCCCGCTAGTCAAGGTTTCTCCTTGAACTTCACGCATAAAGATGACCTTGAATCTCCTGCGTAAAGGCAGCCTGGGATTCCCGCACCCCCACGGAAAGATAGCCTTACCTGGGGCAGTGGGACGGGGAGTGGCCGAGACACCCAGGGCAGCCCAGCCGGCGTCCGGGCAGCGCACCTGCCAGGTGGGGCGGGCGGGCGGGGCGGGCGGGGCGGGCGGCGATCACGGGGCGGGTTGGGAGCCTGCCCGCCCCGCCTCCCGGAGGACCCAGCTCCGGCAATTGGCACTGGGTACCGGGGACTATGGGGAAGCTGGTGGTGCTGACCCTGCTGGGGGTCGGCCTGGCCCTGGTCGGGGAGAGGTTTGTGGCGTTCAGGTGAGTTGAGTCCTCAGGTGACGTAGGTCAGGGCTGCCTGGTGCCGGCTTCCTAGCCAGTAGGAATAGGAATGGACCGTTTTGGGGACCTCACTCTTCAATGCCACCCAGCAAACTGATGTGGAAAGTGAGCGAAGTACTTGCTTTTCCTAAGATATCAGGTCAGGAATGCCCCCATTTGTTTTCTGAAAGTCACCCGCCCAAGCCCTCCTTCCAAGTCGCTCTCAGCATTGGGGTAGTGAAGACCTAGGGGGTGGGTAGGGGCTGAGGGGAGGGAGTGAAGGGGGGGAGGGAAGGGAGGATAATGGGAGATATCTCAATGGGAGGTAT